TCCATTTGAGCTCTGGTCTGAGCATCACACACCCCTCTGAGTGATGGTATAGGGGTGCCTGTCTCCAGCCCCATTGCCTGCCTGGATCCAGATGACTACTAGCCTTGCGAAGGGCTACCGAGGGAGCCATCTCTGCCTGTCATGTTCAGGTACCACTGAGGAAATTGGGATCCTGGTGGGTAGGTATATGGCTGGCCCCAGCATCACCCGCAGCTCCTGGCTTGGCCCCTGTTCACTGCTTCCTGACACTGACCCTCTGTGGATGAGATGACCCTGTAATGGGTTTTCTAAAAATTGTCATGCTTCTGTATTGCCCCATTTTTTAAAGCACACTCCAACCAGAGCTACTGCTTTTTTGTTGATACAGAAAGTAATCTGCATTTCAGGCTGCAGTGTTATCCTTAGCTCCCTGAAGTGTATTGGACTTAAGCTGCGGAAGTCGAAAGAAAGGGAAATTCTGTATAGGAACACAGCAGGCTGTCAGAGGATTTGATACAGATGTGGTTAAAGAACATCGACTTTTAAATTTCTAAAAATACTATCAGGGAGAGGACTTTAAATGGCCACCAGATGTCCTCATTTTTATATAAACATTCAGACTACTGCTATTGCAGGCAGATCTACACTTTAATGGATAAATACCTTGTGGTACCTGACCAAAATCAGGGGGGATGGCAGACTACTTTTTATGAGAAATTTTTCATGGTGAATGCAATAGAACTAGCTATTTTATTCTGAGATTTTCTTTTAATTTAAACACAGCTGGAAATGCTTTCCCACTGAACTTTCAGAGCACTCTTTGCTCCTGGGCACACAACAGGCTTTCATGCTTCACTGAGAGCCCTGGTAAGGACAATGCCTCATGTCCAGAGCCCAGGCCCTGGCTATGGATGTGCTCAGTGAATTTCTTGGGTGTCAGGGCTTTGCCAGGCCCCGTATGTGCTGGCTTGTCCCTGGAGGGCTGGCAGATCCAAGCACTGCACATCCAAGCACAACCCAAAGCTTAACAGACTGCTAGAAGTCACGAGGCTTGATTTTTTTTTAATATAAAATGCAAAAAGCTTTTAGTGGCTACATCTGAGGGAAGCAGATAATTAATGCAATAACTTTTAATCTAGAGCAGTTCATTTATTCTTCAAACAAACAGTGTGATCGATACTGCTTGAACTTCAGTGAGGGGAAACTTCCTTTATAGTGAGACTCAATGAGAATTCCTGAGTGCTTTAAAACTGTGCCAACACTCATTCAGGCTCGGATGAAATATGAAAGTTACTGCCTGACTAGTAGGATGATCCCAAATCACAGGACAAACAACCCCCGCTAACTTGGTCAGTCTTGGTCCTATCTTTTGAAAAGTGGTCTCATCCCACCCAGCTAACTAGAGACCTAATAACTACTCTTTCCTAACAGTAGATGTAGGAATCTTTTTTCTCTGTAATGTGTAATTTCACTTTCATCTGTAATCCCAGCTATCTTGTAGGGAATTTAACAAGCAAATTGTTACTGGCTAACAGATAAGGGAGAACCTTATCTCCATGCCTTACTACAGCTCTCATCCCAAGGTAGGGGAAGCCATAGCAACGATCACAATCCTGAAAATTAGTATTTCTGACAAGCCATGAAGGCACAGTATTTAATTTTTTTTGTTGTTGTTGTTTTATAATGCTTCAAACTCTTTGTGAATTTTTTCCTGACGCTGTTGCTCATTTGGCAAGTGACAAGGTGGATACTGCTCAGGTGACAGCACAGGATAGGAAAGAGGAATAACTCTAATGCAAGTCTTCTGATTGTTTCCATTTTCCGGGGTGGAGGGGGGAAGTGATTAACATTTCATAGGCAAATTCCAGTTTGGAGTAATTTTTTTAAAAAAAAAACAATTTGTCACTCAAGTAGAGCATTCATGCCTGAAATTTGTGAAGATTATGAAGGCAAAAGGGGTTCTACTTTTGTAGTTCATTATCACTTAACTGCCTGTCCTTGGGCATTAAAGTCTAAAATCAAGTTTGGTATTTGACACTATAAGGGGGACCCTGAAGAGAGTTTATTTAAAGTATTGCAGTGCGGGGAAAAAGCAGAAATCCATTTTACTAGGATATTTCTTCATTGTTCCTGGTCAGATGAAAAATGCCTAATGTCGATGCCTAGGAAGCAAAAGCAGGCCTACCCAGCTGTGGTATAAACCTTGTTTAATGGTTCCCTGGATCCCTTTGTGCTTCCTAATTCATGGATTTAAAAGGCATCTGCAACTCCCCTGTTATTGCATGAGACAGCACGTGTGAGAGCAGTGACTCCTGCTCGGCAGGAAGAGGAAACAGCTGATCCATGCTGCAGGGATCTGTGAACTGATATCAGGGTGGGGTTTACAGCTTTTTAAACTGACTGCCATGTGAGAGCAGTTAGGTCTAACTTCTGGCTGGCACATGGATTTGAGGGAAAAGGATACAAAGGGGAAATAGCATTTAACAGCTGTCATCGAAACTTTGACGCCGTTCAGTGTGAAACTGCAGGCTGAGCAGAGCTAAGCCAGGCTGCAAAGCAACACTCAAAGTTCCAACACAGCAATCAGTATCTTCAGCAACCTCAGGCTTTCCACACCTATCTTTTTAATGCACTGCCTTGAAGAGCTGACACAGTGTTAGACTGTCTCACCTCAAGCAGCACTGCACACCTGACTGGCATGTCCAGCTGGGCTCACATCTATGCCTGCTTTGATGCTTCTCCCATTCCCAATACTCCACGAGGCTACAGCTGATGGTGAATATCTACAGTATCCCACCTGCTCAAAATAATCAGGTAAGTTTAAATTCTCCATGTGGCACGTGAAGAGTTCAGCCCCACTTTGCTGCAGTTAAAGCAAACTGTACATGCACCTCAAGCCATGACAGTTGTTTGATCCATACCCTCATTCAACAGCAACAGTGTGTGTCCATCAAGAGCTGCTTTTGGGTGGGGGAATAGCAACTTGGTTCCACCACAGGTACTCTGTCATCTCTGCTGCTTCAGGTATTGTCAGCTCAACGCAGACCAAGGCTGACCCTTCAAGGGGACTCTGTACAGCTGGACATGCCTCTCCCCCAGGGAGACAGAAGGATCTGAAGAAGCAGAATCCAACCTAAATGAGAAGTCTGTAGTATTCTAAACAGAATCAGATAGAAGACTATACCTATTGTAAGAAAATACTCAACACTTCACCTAAAAATAGGATCACTTTCCTTTTAGAAGCTTTTTCCTTTTTTTCTCCTCCTAAAAGACATGCTAAGGCACATGGAGGACAGGGAAATAAATCAGGAGTGTCAGCGCGGCTTTACCAGGGGCAAGTCCTGCCTGAGCAATCTGGTGGCTTTCTATAGGGAAGCAACTGCACTGGTGGACAAGGGAAGAGCTGTGGACATCATCTATCTTGACTTTGCTAAGGCCTTTGACACTGTCCCCCATAGCATCCTCCTTTCTAAGTTGGAGAGATATGGGTTCGATGGGTGGACTGTTCAGTGGATAAGAAACTGGCTGGACAGCCACACCCAGAGAGTGGTGGTCAATGGCTTGACAACTAGCTGGGCACAAGTGAAAAGTGGTGACCCTCAAGGGGCTGTGCTGGGACCAGTGTTGTTTAACATCTTCATCAATGACACAGACAGTGGCATCAAGTGCACCCTCAGCAAGTTTCCTTATGATACTAAGCTGGGTGGTGCAGTTGACATGCCAGAGGGAAGGGAGGCCATCCAGAGGGACCTGGACAGGCTGGAGAGGTGGGCT